TTATAAAATAAGTAGAAATAAACAATTTTAAAACTAGATTTACGGATTTCGATGGTATATACAACGATTTGTATATATATTTTTTTTTTATCGTTATGTCTACATATAATGAAAAAAAAAAAATAACAATCATGCAACAACGCAATAAAATTGTTCAAATCTGTGCGCAAGTRTTTTTATATTTTTTTGTTTGATATCAATGTAAATTTAATATTGTGTTGTAGGCCGTAGCGTGTAATGAGTTTTTGTATGTTATAATCAGGAATGTTGCATAAAGTATATAATATTTCGTTCTATGACTTTGCGTTTAGTTAGTGTATATACRTTTATATTTAAAATAGCAATAATTAATGATCATACAATATCACAATCGTTTCTGTACGCGTGCATCGCAGAAACTAATATACCAATAAATGACATAAGCGTGTTCTTGTTATGAGATTATTTTGTTCAGAARTAGCTATTAATTCAGTTATACCTGCAGTATAGTGTTTAATCCTTTTGTCCGATCGTTTATACATAATGGTGATAACTACAACAATAATTAGGATAAACCTCGCGGTATAATCATAATAATCCGGAAATTAATTCGTTCACCGAAACTGCGCTYGTCATGGACTCGTTTAGATGGGTGCAGAAAATGTATATATTATATAGATACATCGGACATGTGTGCTATAGATACAATAAAATAAATTATAATTTTAATAATATGTTAATTGTATGATAGTATAAGCATGTTTTTTTTTTTACATTTTAAGATCATAATATCATAAAAGGTGTTTATTTCATGGTTATTTTAATGGATTGTTGCAAAATATTATTAGTCATTTTGTTTTTTTTTTTTAGCGCATAAAAATCCTGACTTCAATATTATCACAATGATCTCGAGTAYAATATTATTAATTCTCGATTAATTACAATTATATACAATTCGCATGTTTGGTTGTGTTGCAGGCGTGGAATGACTACAAATTGCAATGGGACCCTAAGGAGTATGGCGGCGTGCAAATGCTTCACGTGCCTTCCGATCACATTTGGCGGCCGGATATCKTGCTCTACAACAAGTGAGCGTGTTTAAAGTATTTCGAACGGGCGCGCGTTCACCCCACTGAATATTTGGCCCCTCATCGTTCAAACTTAATAATATCAATAATAATAATAATGCAATTATTATGAGTCGTTCTTTTTGCGACCACACACACATAATCTAAATGACGTATTATATGATGCAGTACGCGTACAACTCATGTTCACGTGACCGATCACTAGTGACTAGCATTCTTATGCAGCGCGTAATATGTACATCCATATATTATATTGTATATATCATATATATATAATTATATCATCATGTGTAATATGTTTACTAACACTACGACACAATAATTCATATACATATGTATGTATGTTTGTATATATACAATTCGATTAGTTTATACAACTAATATATTATGACTACTGCTGCGGCTGCTATCACTATTATACTACCTGTACAACTACTACTGCAATAAGTACTACTACTACCGCTGCTAATGYTGCGGTTGCGGTCAAATATATTGCCAATCTGCGTAGTGAGGATGCCATACAATTATTATATAATTTAAACAAAACGATATTAATATATTTTATACTGCACATCGTGTAGGTACACAACGAATCGTGTGTAATAGAAGAACGAAAAGAAACGTGTTTGTTTGTTTTGTTTTTTTGTTTTTTGTTTTGTTTTTTGGTGGAATTTTGTTATTCCCGTCAACCCAGCCGTCAGTGTTGATGATCACAATGCATGTGGCGTACATAGTCCCCCGAGGACGACAAACGGAATGCGTACCATGAAAACATTAGAGTATAATATCATTGTGTTATTATCATACACTGTATGTTATTATACCTATATTATATATTAGCAGCAGCAGGTGCAATTGAATAATTATAGGTACCGCTTATATACTTGTTTGATAGGTAGGCTGTAAAAAACTATGGAAATAATATCAATAATTATTACGCGTACGAATTTTCTCCACCGCTGCCACACATTTGTCTGTATCAGCTCTATCTCTATGCAATATTGATGCGTATCCCTCGATAAGGTTAAATTCATTATACCCGTATATATAATATAAACGTTAAACTAAGTGGAAATTGTAATTGTCAGCAATAATATTATTGACATGGACTGTCTTAAAAGCGGATATCGCCACCCAATATAAAAAGGTACGATGCAGATCGGAATTCTAATRATCGAGTATTATTTTATTTAGTGTAGTTTGGATATTTAAACTTAACCTATGATAATAATAATAATATTATACATATTTAAAAAAAGCCCATGTACTCCATTAAATTCATATTATAGAAGTTCGTGTTTCGTGTGTTACATTATGCCTATGCTTGTAATACTGTTTAGGATAATAGACGATGAAATTCAATCGGCTTGAAAACTACTTTTTTTA